TGACATAATAGTGTGTTCCTCCCAATGAAGTTGTCTTGGAAGGCCCCCATACATCTGAATGAACATAATCCAAAATACCTTTAGTATCATGGATTGCTGTTCCAAATTTCACCCTCGTCTTCTTCCCTTTGATGCAATGCTCACAAAAAGTTAATTTGCAAGCCCGAGCACCCTTCAATAATCCTTGATCTATCAGTAATTTCAAGGATTTTTCACCAACATGCCCCAAGCGCATATGCCATAACCTGGTTGCTTCTGACTCCTGTTCATTAGTAGAAGCTGCCACTGCTGCTGTCCCAACAATTGTACTACCCAGAAAGTAATTAATAAAAAAAACATTTGTGATTATTCCAATAATAATTTACTTTTATAAATAGTATTATCATATTATCGTACACCTTTAGTTAGTATTTATATAAATAGTTAATGATGTATGATAATAAATTAACATTGTTTATAAAATTAAATATAAAAAACAATCCATTAATAAACTTTTATTTTTCTTAATCTTAAAAATTTTAGTCATTTACTCCCGTTTCTTAATTGGTTGTAGGCGGCAACACTAAGCTTAGTGTTAGTATTTTTTTCATCTATTTTCTTATATTATATTTTTATTTTTTTGTTTCGTTTATTTTTTATGACTATATCTTTATGATACGTTTTACTTTCCTCTTATAGCATATTTTCTCTGACTTTCAGTAAGTTTTATGTCGTTTGGTTGACGTTTTTATTTATCTTTTTTAAAAGGTTTAATTTTACATCACCAGGACTGATCGAGATGACGTTATTTGTTATCATATTGATATTCCTTGCTTTGGACCATCATATTGATTTGGATAAGTGATTTGCATTAGTGGATAATTTTCTCACGTCGCTCAACTCTGATTTATGTTTTATTGGTGGTCTTTTAATAGCTTCATCTCCTTTTGTGATTCGTTTTTCGATACAATCGGATTTGTTTATATATATTTTTTTCGAGCGTTTGTTGTTAGGTTTTTTTTATCATTTTCCTTCTTTGGTCCTTGTGTGATCTATATGATTAGATTTTGTATCGATGGTTATAGGAAAATGTCCTAATTATATTTTAGTTTATATTTACGGTTATACTCGTAAACATTCATTATAATTCTAGATATTTCTTATTTTTAATAAATTTAATTGATTTTTATAAAAATAAAATAAAATAAATATAGAATAATAATCATAAAAATACAAGTCAAAAGTCAAAATTTGAATGGAAAACATGAGTTGACAACAAAAACGAATTATCTTTAAAAGGATAATCCTAGAAATTTGGTCGGTTAGTCCATTAAATAAAGAACAATATCTCATTCATCTAAAAGCTTTGTTTATCTTAATGTACCTGGGTGCTTTGAAAAAGAGAAGCAAATGAAAGGGTTCTGTTGGACCGATGATTCAAACAACTGTCAAGTACCTTGCAGACACGTGGTCTCTGTCGGTCAACTGGGGGTTCAACACGGGTAGATTCAGTGGACCCCACGATGACGGTTTGCCACTCAAATTAAACTATGAATGACCGACGGTCTACAAAAGAAACTACCCGACTCCCAATGGATTACGTGGCGACATCACAACGAACCAGCTATGTTTGGTGATGTCGGTTAGTTGGAGTTAAGTAAGCTGCGTAAATAAGGAATTTTAATGCACCCTCTTTTTGATACACGATGGAGAGAGTGATTTGATTTTGTTCAACAACAATAAATTAGTATAAGAATGCATCAAAAAATACTTATCTAAGTTGTTAAAAGAATCGTAGTTGTTTCTAGAGATCACGAGTTCAAGTACCAGCGATTACAAAAGTGATTGGACGTTTACTGTCAAATGATTAAAATATTGAAACAACAACGATTTCTTAACCATTCAAATACGTAAATTTATAATCGTCTTAGTTTAATAAAAAAGATATCATATATTTTATATAAATATTAGAATTTAATTTTTGGAGGCAACCAAGCTGCACCAACAGGTGGTCTTATAAGAGGCAAGTCCAGATACTGTATATTTGAATTCACCAAAGATTTAGATGGTTACTTGGTTTTTCTAACTGAGTTATGATTTATCTATAATTGTTTTCGACATTGTCAGAGATTAAACTAAAAAAATTGAAATTACTGTGGATAATGTTGAGACAGTAAAAATAATTCAAAAATTATCTAATTTTCTATAAAACAATTTAATCGGGAACAAATTTTCATGTCACTTAAAGAAGATTGGGAGGTATATTTTTGGCTAGTCAAGCGATATAAGAATGGTATGACATGTATTTTGGTCAAGATGAGTTGAGAAAAATATAAAGGATGGACATAAAATTTTATATTATGAGTGACTAATTTATAATATTTTAAAGGATATAAATTTATATATTTTTAGAGGTCAAAAATTTTTAATAAAAATATAAAAAAAATGTTTAAAATATATAAAAATTTTAAATTTTTAAAAAGACAACCGTCTCTATTAAACTAGATTCAACTTATGCTATTATAAATAAAATAAATTAAATAAAAAGAATCATTACGTAGAATATTTTGTATTAATTAATGATGAATAAATTAAATATTATGTTAAAAATTTTAAAATTCAGTATAAAAAATTTGGCTTTGTTGCTAATATAAAAGATTAATTGTTTTACTAGCAATTAGTAGATGAAACACTAGATTTCTTAAACAAGTTTAGAAGTTCAAAACCTAATCATTGTAAATAAAGTAAACTAGATTGATAGGGTCGTCCTGACCTCTATAATACTCGATCTGGATTAACAAAAAAAAATTGTTTTCAAAAGAAAATAATTGATTAACCATGATATCATTAAATATTATTTATAATTTCCTTTATCTTCCTCGTGGGCCAACGCGTTGTTAATAGCCTATATAAACACCACCTCCCACATCCCTCCCCAACACCAGCAATTGAGCTTTCTCTTGCAACACAAATCTCTATTGTATAACGCAACCTCATTTTCCTTCAAACCAAACAGTAAGCTTAAAACACCCATACCTTACCTTTCCCTTTTACCATTTAACCAAAACAATTTTCCAACATGGCCTCTAACATCACCAGTACCAAAGCTGCCACTCTCACCGCCAAAGCTCCAATCCCTCCCAAAAGGGCTTACGTTACGTTCTTGGCGGGGAACGGTGACTACATCAAGGGCGTGGTGGGGTTAGCCAAGGGACTCAGGAAGTTCAAGAGCAAGTACCCGCTTGTGGTGGCTCTTTTGCCTGACGTACCGGAGGATCACAGGAAGACACTTGTGGAACAGGGCTGCATACTCAAGGAGATCGAGCCTGTGTGCCCACCCGATAACCACACCCAGTTTGCCATGGCCTACTATGTCATCAACTATTCCAAGCTTCGTATCTGGGAGGTATTTATTATTACTAGTATCTTTGAATATTCTGTTTAGGAATTTCATTTTCCAAAATGAATCATTTTCTTTCTTTTTTTATACAGTTTGTGGAGTATTCCAAGATGATATACTTGGACGGGGACATCCAAGTGTTCGACAACATAGACCACTTGTTCGACATGGAAGATGGTTACTTTTATGCAGTAATGGATTGCTTCTGTGAGAAAACATGGAGCCACACCCCACAGTACAAGATTGGCTACTGCCAACAGTGCCCTGATAAGGTCCAGTGGCCTTCTCAGCTGGGACCTAAGCCTTCTCTTTACTTCAACGCAGGCATGTTTGTGTATGAACCCAGCCTTACCGTGTATGAGGACCTGTTGACCACTCTCAAAGTTACAACTCCTACCCCATTTGCGGAACAGGATTATCTGAACATGTTCTTCAGGGACATTTACAGGCCCATTCCTCCAATATACAACCTGGTGATGGCCATGCTATGGCGCCATCCTGAGAACATAGAGCTCGAAAAGGCCAAGGTGGTTCACTACTGTGCTGCTGGCTCCAAACCCTGGCGGTATACGGGCAAAGAAGAGAACATGGACAGGAAAGACATTAAGATGCTGGTGGGAAAATGGTGGGATATTTACAATGATGAGTCGCTTGACTTCAAAAATGCTGTGGCCACTGGCGAAGCAGAAGCTGATGAGGATGACGAAGCAGGCCTGCAACTGCAACAATTCTTCGCAGGATTGCCGGTTCAGCATTTAAAAGCCCCATCCGCTGCTTAGTGATTGTGGCCTTAATTTGGTGAATGATATAGATTATTAATACTATATACAATACATCTAAGCTGTGTAGGGAGTGTAAACGTGTTATTTTCTTCTTTCTAGCTGTATTTGATCCGTCCTTATATTTATTAAAAGGGACAGATTTTTCTCAGGAAAACATAAGGAACTACCATGCATAAGCGCTGTCCTTACGGATTCTTTGTATCGTTCGACTATTTGTAGGTTCATTTGTAAACTTTTGAATTTAATATTCATATAAAAACGAATATTTTCTGTGTTTTTTTTAATTATTGTTAAAAGGATTTGGGAACTAAAATCAGAAGTTGAAGTTCCAAATCGTAATAAACAGATTTATGAACGTTGAATATCTTGCAAGTATATGAAACCTAATATGAAAGAGAAAGTTGGATTGGATCCAAACTTTTACTTTGCCGAGGTTGGAAATCATTTAACTTTCGATAAATTACAATATGTATCTGGGGTTTGTTTACCATCAAACAAACACTTTGTTCAAAAAGAGAAGAAAGGCTAATTAGGACAAGTAACTACATTTTTTTATGGCATTTACTTTACCAGTTGTGTTCTATCTTTTTGTATGGGTATAGTACATGGATAAAGAACAAACCCATCAAGGGCTAAAAGCCATAGAACAGAAGAGAAGATGATCCGACGACATAAAGAAGCCTAAAAGCACAGATGACTTGCCGGTTAATATTAATTTGTACTGATAAGCATTTCAAAACTGCACTCTTCCCACCCTCTCAAGCCAGAACAGCCAGCTCAATTGGAGCTTTCTGAGCAAAATAATAAACAGTATTAAACATATTTGCGATCAGACTCAGAAAATTCAAAACATATTACTATGAAATGTCAACAACGAATTCGTTAAACTCAGAACAATAAATTCCTTCTACAAAGCAGACAGGCAATCAAACTGCCCATATCTAACACAACCTCGTACATTTCTTGTAAAAGTTAACAAGCCAAAGGAAAACCCAACACCAGAACATATCACTATAAAAATAAAATATACATATCCAAATTCGACTTCCGCAAAGATTGCTGCCCCAGTTGTAAATGTCACTGATCATCGACCGACCCTCTCAAGCCTAGTAAAAACACAATGAGTGAAAGCAATAATTAGAAAAGAATAATATCTACAACGGGCTCACACATCAGTCTGAACCTACCTTGCTAGCTATGTTGTTGGATAGCCAGTCAAGCCCTTCATACAACCCTTCGCCAGAGGTAGCACATGTACTCTGGATATACCTGCGACTCCCATTAAAGAAATGATCATATTCTATAAAAAAAAAGTTCTTTAGAACAAAATAGACTGATATGGAAATAAAAGAGCAGAGAATAAGTTTATTATAAAATACCAGTGGCGTTGACGGAGGGAATGAAGACCAAGTTTATCAGTAATCTCAGCAGCATTCATAGCATTTGGTAGATCTTGCTTGTTTGCAAATACAAGCAGCACAGCATCCCTCAGTTCATCCTACGCATATTTGGTAGTACAAATTGTAACTACACAGTTATGTAAGTTTAAATTTTAAAATAATATTAATTATAAAAGTGAAACAGGACCCTCAAATTACGATAGTTGCCAACTATATAATTACAACAAAATCTAATTATTGGGTTGACTTTCCAAACACACGCTTAATGAAAATTTCAACTCAATAGAGAAAATAAAACCAATAAAGAGCAAATAAGTAAAATGGCACCTCATTTAGCATACGGTGAAGCTCATCCCTGGCTTCGACCACACGATCACGATCATTGCTATCAACAACAAAGATTAGCCCCTGGGTATTTTGGAAGTAGTGCCTCCACAAAGGTCGGATCTGAAAGTAGCCACAAAAGCAACCAGAAATTAGCATGCCATCAAACTTCAGACATTTCACTCTTAATTTGAAGAACGGGTAAACATATCTACCACAGAAAAGCAAGCAACAATTCTCAGAAAAAAAAAGAACACTCAAACTAAATTGCTGCATTGAAGAGACACTGTTGGTTGCATTATATATTGAATATAAAATTGAAGCCAAAGACAAATTAACTTGGCATTCATCACAACTCGCACAGTTTAGAAAATCAGCAGCAGGGTCAATACCAGGTAATTAAAAAGAAAGCACTTTCATTAACATTTTTGTTAGTGCAAAAAAAGTTTGAATGAATAAAGATAATAATATATAAAAACAAATATATAAACATTGTTTTATATATGCCATGATGCAGATAGTCTTCCTCTTATAGCCAGAGGAAAAACTTGAAAGACAAGATAGCACAGGTACATATAGCTTATGATAATGTTATGTGCTAATGGGAAACATCTAGCTAGCACAAGACCGTCAATAAGAACTCAAATTCATCATCTGCAATTATAAAGCACCAATTAAAGTAAACAGAATATTTATGAAGGAAAAAAATCAAAGCTTTGTATGAATATGCTCAATAAATCAAGATATCAAAATAAAGGCAAGAAGCCAAATAATGTGCCAACCATATCTCATACCACCAAAGAAAAAACTAGAAAGAAAATTTGACATTAGTAGATGTAGCCATCAGTTGAGACATCAACATGGTTGTACAATTGAATAACATGGCAAAGTATCATGTTCCATCAAGCAGTAAGACACAGGAAAACAATAAATGGTGAAATGCTAATTAATTGTGGCTGAATCTGCAATATTTTTTGAGTTCCTGTTGTATTACCTTGTCCTGACCACCAACATCCCAAACAGTGAAGCTAATGTTCTTATATTCAACAGTCTCCACATTAAACCCTAGGTGAAATAGCAATAAGTATCAATATCTAAAAACAGAAGAAAACAAAATACTGTCAGAAATTTTAACAATGAGAGCATACCAATTGTGGGAATGGTGGTGACGATCTCTCCGAGCTTCAGTTTGTACAATATGGTGGTCTTACCAGCAGCATCAAGACCCACCATAAGAATTCGCATCTCTTTCTTGGCAAACAGGCGACTGAACAACTTAGCAAAAGAAAGCCCCATCCTTCTATTCTGGCTGAAGGGGAAAAAAGGAACATAAGAGAAGGTCCGCCGCAGCTTATAATATAAACCAATTAATAAAATGGAAAAAGGAACAAAAAAATCATTAGACATATAATTGGTAAAATATAATATAAGTCACCCCACATTTATAGTTATATAAGAAAGATGTATGTCATTGCCCTATATCGAATCGATCGATAACATTAGGAACAATTTGTTTAAAGAGGCAAGAACATTTTAAAAACAGGATCCGAATCAGCTAGAACACTAGAACATGCTAAACGAAAATGAAAAAAAATAACACTAGTCAAACACAACAAGTAGATTCAATATTAAATCTAATGCTAGTAGCATACTACGTTTCACAGAAATTAAGATCAGACACGAAATATAAGCAGATCTAATAAAACCCAGATCCAGATCTGGATCTGGGATAAAATAGCGAAAGACCCACCAGCAGAAATCAACGCGAAAAGGACTATTATTAATAAATACACATGAATCTAAACAAAAAAGCAAATAAAACGATAACATATAAACAAGAGAGTGGAGATAAATTGGAAATAAGATGCAGAAGGAAAAGGAGAGAGATTTGTACAGTACATGGCGAGATATTAAAAGAGACGTGAGGGTGCCCAAAAAGAGAATTGAAACACGAAAAAATGTAGAAACCTGCAATCAAATGAAGGGAGATGATTACATTGAACAACGGGGTTTGCTTTATTAGGAAGATTTCAGATCAGGGCCAGGGGAGGCTTGGGCTTCAAATTACTAGACCCATCATTTCATTTGCCTAAAACCAAACAAGGACTAATTATTGGATGTAATATGGGACATAAGCAAGATAGTCGTAAACAAGGACGGACATGGATCAGGCATTGTGGATTGATATAATAATATTTTTAGTATTTAATTATATTTTTAAATTATAAATAATATATATAAACTTATTTAATATAATTATTTGAATCTAAATTTTTTAAAGAGAATAACATCTCATTTTTATTAAGATTACTCAATAAATTTATTTTACTCGTAATATTAAAATAGATACATATTATAAAACAAAAATAAATGATATTTTTTAATCAGAGTAAAATGAACGGTAAACATTGAAGGACACAGGTTATTTGGTGTCTTTCATAAGATGTCAAGAAGATACGACTTCTTTTAGATTGGTGTACACTTAAGGTTGACGTTAACGCTAACTACATGATATATGTAACTTAAGGAACACGCCAAGTGATCCGAGCGTTTTTTTCCTCATGCATCATTCATTATACCTTAATTAAGAAAATAATTTTTCATATACCACATGCGAGTCCTCTTTTTTCACCACATTATCTAAGAAATTTTGCCAATATTAGAAAAAAAATTGTTTTATAGCTTTCAATTATTTTAAAATTTAATATATGCCCATTAAATTACTTATGTGGTTAAAGGAAGTAGATAAAGGAATTACTGTTATTCACGGAGATTATAAGTTTGAATACAGGAGTCTGCATAAAGTATTTTGAGCGTTCATTATTAAAAAAAGATTGAGATTCTTTAGAATAATACTAACGTTGTAAGCACTATAGATTAATAAAAAAAATCAATATATGTATGGATTCTTTAAAATATTTTAATGTAAATTATACATGTGATTATTTAATTATGAAAAGATTCTAATATGATTGTTGATTTTTTAGTTTTGTCAATCATATCATTTAACTATTTAAATTATATTAATCGAGTCACCTATAACGGAGAAACTAATACAATAATTAATAAAATTGATATAATTATACATTTAATTCTTGTCATTTATCCATTCCATCAATTTTGTTTTGTTTTTAGTTTAATTCAATAAATATTAAAATCTTTTCAAAAAAGTATTTAATAAAATTAAATTAAGACTATATTGATGAATTTTATAAATAATTAAGATTAAATATATAATCACATTAATTTTATTAATAATTATATAAATTTATTTTTTAAAAATTAGCATACAATTTAATTGACAAAATTTAATATTAACAATCAAATTAAAATCTATAATTTCATAGTTTCTCTAAAAATTTAATAACGAAGTCCATCACTGTCCCAACCCCACCCACTTACGTCCCAGTTTCTTCAACGAAACTGACAGATACGAATATGATATACATATTACACTACAATATGTTTTCTTCTTCCTTGTGGGAATCTTTATCAGGTTAGCTTTCGTATTTGTTTTAATCAACTTTAGATTAGATAAGACTGGTTGGCTGTGAACTGACTTCTCATTGAGTCATTTCTCTTTCATCTCCTGCCTTCTTTCCGTCAAACACTACTGGTGCCCAAAGCATCTAATCTCATTCTTGTTCTTATTCTCGCCTTTGCTTTCCAGATATTTTTCTGGGTTTTCTTTTCATGTCTTTGTCAATTTGGGTATTCGGTCAATTTTCTAACTTGGCTTCGACTTTTTTGGCATGGATTGTGATTATTTCTTGGATTCTTAATTTGATTGGTCTCTAGATCCGATTAACTGATTCTAGATTGTTCATTTTATGGTTCTGGAAACTGGATCATTATGTTCTTTACCTCTCCTAATTTTGACCTTACAACTTTGCCTCTCAGCTGCTTCCTTTCTGCAGATTTATGAATAGTCTCTCTTCTTCATTATCTAATTGCTGTAAGTCTTTGTAAATATATATTCCGAAGCTTTTATGAAGTATTTTTATCTTCTGGAAAACAAAAAGGAATGTATTAATCATCAGAAGCTCATTGTCTCAGTGTATTCACTGTTTATAAGGCTAGTTGATAGGTTCAACATCTTGAAGGTAAAACTCTGGCTCTCATTTCCCTGTTACCAATACCATCTTTTGATTATTTCTAATTAGAGCCTACTCCTTATTGAGAATTATACAGGGTCTGCACAAAGGAGTAACGAAGTGTAAAATTCTTAACCATGAATGTTCACGATTTTGAAACCGGGACGAGGTCATATAGTCTGCCTTCATCTGGTTTTGTAAGTTCCTTGTAGAGTTCGTTGGTTTACTTCTCTTGTGCTTCATGCAGGTACTTAGATAACAATATCGGTTTTCTTGGGATAAGACTTTGTCAATATCATATGAATTGTTGATTTATGGGTTCCGAAGGGCCAGCAGCTGTAACCATCCATGTGACTGGTTTTAAGAAATTTCATGGAGTTTCCGAGAACCCAACCGAAACCATTGTTAGTAATCTAAAAGAGTATGCAAGAAAGAAAGGTTTACCGAAAGGCGTTATTCTTGGCAGTTGTAGTGTTCTTGAGACTGCTGGACAAGGAGCTCTCACTCCACTGTATCAGACATTTCAATCTGCCTTAGCAGGAAAGGATTCTCAATCTTCAAGTTCTGAGAAAATTATTTGGGTTAGTTACTTGGATTTCGCTTTCTACTGTGTTATAATCGCTTAGATACACACATGCATATCGACTTCATGGTTGCATTAGTAAAAACCGGAAAAAAGAAAGTGCGTCCCGGTCACGGTGTTGGAATTCTCTTATTCTGATTTCTGAGCACATATGCAGAAATGAATCAGCAAATAATTCTTCTTGGCTTTTTTAGTTAACTAGGCAGGAGGCATTTTTAACTAACTGCTTTATGCAATAATTCTAACATGCTACCTCTCCTTTATTCTTGGCAGATGTAGCGAATAACAGTAAAATCTCATTTAAAGTGCCCTCTTGAATCCACATTGAAATTGCATGTTTGGGAGCATGTGATTAGTCGATCTGATGATAAAGCTGAGATCAGCCAGTTTTTGCTGCCATCTTCTTTTCCATCTTAAATACATGAAGAAAGCTCATACGTAATAACCGGTCCCAATTTTGATGCATTGTTCATGAGGGGAGTTTGCCAACAGACAGTATCTTAATAACTTGTATTTGATGCAATCAACTTATTGCCTTACAAATTCAGGCCTAATGTTTCTTGTCCATTCTGACGATATTTCTTCAGGTGCATTTCGGAGTCAATAGTGGTGCATGAAGATTTGCTCTTGGGCATCAAGCTGTAAATGAAGCTACTTTCTGTTGCCCTGAAGAGATGGGATGGAAACCTCGGGTTAGATATATCCCATTGTCCCTTTCATGGTGCATATGCAATTTGTCATGCCTCTACCTCTTTCCCTCAAACTTCCATATTTTTGTTGAACTTTTATATTGTTTGCTGAGAGTACCCGTTGTGCCTGCAGATGGTTGAATTTCACGTGTTCGAAAGGTAGTACGGTTGTCCCTAAAGTATACCTTTTTTTTCTTGCAAAGCATGTTATATCTCATATGATACTATAGTCTTCTGTATTTTCCACCATGGATAAAGAGTTCCCTCTGTTACGCTTCTGCAGACTTCTCATCCTGTTGAGGAGATCACAAAGGCATTAGCAAAGAAGGGATACGAGGTAATGACATTGTATGATGCCGGACGGTTTGTGTAATTATGTGTACTGCCACTCCCTTCACTTTGCGGAGCAGAATAGGATCAAATCCCTCTTTGTCCATGTCCCTCTCTTCTTGACCATAGATTAGGAGATCCAAGTGAAATTCGCTGCCTCCTTGTTGGAGGTACTTGGTTCTCTTTGTTAGTAACATACTGTACCCATCTTCATTTCTGGAACCGACACTGTTGTACTGTTGTGGATCATGTTGTGAGGTATAGATGCATGCTTATTGATTAAACAGACAATGAGTTTATGCGAATGGAAAGAAATTGTATTTCAGCAGATACATCTTATGCATTTCATTTGCTTTTCCAAATACGAATTACTCTTATACTTGAAAATTCGAATGTAGAATGTCGAGCTCGAGTCTTTTATTCGTTTAATGGCGTGTAACTGTGTTTAAATTAAGCTCTTTGTTGTCTTTCTAATTGATGACTAAATGAGATGTGACGAGATGTGTAACTCCCTTGACCCGGCCTATGCGTTTCGACTAAGTCTAGTGGATCACATACATGATTCTTAAAGACATTTTCTGAAACCGTTATTCAATCAATGTAAAATCACATTATAAATATCATGAAATAAATTATACTATCAAAACCTAACTTGTAAATATAATACCAATAAGAAATAAATTAATTTAAAACAGGTCTTCAAAATCAAAATCATGATAAACCAAACAGTAATAGCAAAAGTGTCATCATCATAAAATACAATACTTTAAAATAAGGTCCATGTCACCAAAATAAAGTCAACTTGCAAGATAAAACATTATAATCAGATATACTTCAAGAGATATGTTGATCCTCCAAGTGCTCGAACCGAGATATCTAACCAACAGTATCTGAAAGGGAAAAAAAACATTTTCGAAAGGTGAGCTAGGCTCAGTGTGTCCCAATATTACCTTAAAATCACAATATGTACATTAAACAAATCATAGTCCAATAAATCTCATAAATTCATAAAAGAGTTTAACTTTTGAAAATCATAGTTTAAACCCTTTTCTTGTACACCATCAGTGGTTCCCAAAACTATTTTCCATATAGCTTACTTTAAGCACATAACAAAAAGAAAGCCACCTTAAGGATAAGCTTTAGAGCTTGTATCCTTACGCCCGTAAATCCAAGTCCATATAGCTTATCCTAAGCACACAGCAAGGGAAGCCAACCTAATGTATCTTGGGACCCCAAGAGTCACATTAGGCCCATTCTGTTTATTAGCTTGATCAGAGCTATACTATTGTAATTCAATCCAAAAGTTCAATTGCACCATGACACAAATTCCATAAATCATCACATTAAATTGGTGCATCAATAAAACAGTAACCAAAGAACTTAGTGTACCTCATATTAAAACCAATAAAACAGTTCAGTAATAATTAGGGAACACACCTCGATAATAAGTTCAAATAGTAGATCTACTGATTGCTGGTTTCACCACGCTCTGTTACAGTTTTCGAACCTATTTTATAATAACACTATATTACTTATGGGTAACATAAATAAATCTCTAAAATCATAAAATTTACGGGTCTTACGGGTGAATACTGGCACACGTGGTTTAACTGATCTAGAAGAGCTGGGTCGAGCTGTCGAACGATCCGGAGAATCTCTTGTACCTTCAAACAATAATAATTTATCAGCCCCAAATCTTACTTAATTGTTCAAAGCTAAAATTCTTAAGTATATAAGCATTTTCAGGGTTTGACTATCAATTTGGAGGATTTTCGGGTTTGAATTTGGTCAAACGGATTGCGGAATCGGAATCATGACGTCGAAAAACATAAAGTATGACTTTTCGAAAATTTAAATTCTTGGTCAAAGTCAAAGTCAACCACTTTGACTGTTGATTTGGAGGTTTTAGGGTTCGAATTTGACGAAACGGACAGCGGAAACGGATTCGGCACGTCGAAAACTATCAGAATAAGTATACCTGGAAAAGATTTACGGTCGTTTAAGGGTCGGTCAAAGCCATTTAAGGTTCTGGTCAAATAAAATCAACGGTCAACGGTCGGGTCGGGTCAACGGTCGGGTCGGGTCAGACCGGTTCAGACCGGTCAAACCGGTTTTCCAGCTGCTCACTCTCCCTGTGGCGGCGCGTATGGCGCGTGAGGCCTCATCCGGGGGTCTAAAAATTACGGAAAAATTTTCAAAAATTATTTTGAGCGATTTCGAGATACTTACAATGATCGGTTCAAATTTTTGAACGGCGGAGAGCTCGAATTTCAACTCGGCCGAATCTTTGACTGCTCCACCTCCTCACGCGCCACCGTCGACGGCGAACAAGGTTGACACCGGCAGACTCGCAACGACACAAGGAACACGATGGTGCAGGAGGTGTCGTAAACGGAGCAACGATCGGCGGTGAATTTAAGATTTTCCCGGCGATAGAGCTAACAAAAACGTCGAGACTTTGACTGTAAATTCCTGACATTTGGCAGCGTTTCGCTTCAATTAAATTGAAGGATTTGTTCCTGACTCGATAACGAACACGATGGTGATTTCAAAACGACGATCAGAATTCGGACGGCGTCGGGATCTAAGTCGGAAACCGGCGTAGGGGCAAGGGAATTTGGGAGTGTGGTTTTCTGTTTTTGAAATAGAAACCACACGTATATATCATATAACCCCAAACTTACCTAACTTTTTTGGGTAAATTCAGGGCTTAGTCCTTGAATTTTCTTTAACTCTAAAACAAGCTCTAAGTTTTAAAATCTTTCAATTTAGTCCCTAAATTTTTGCCAATTTTCACAATTAACCTCCAATTTCAATTAAATACTATTTTTGCCTCGGTTACTCCATTGAACTTTGACCATTGGAATACGCCTATTGCGAAGAACTCGCTCATCTCTTTCTAAGATCTGGATGGGCTCCTCCTCATATGACAAATCAGGTCTCAGCTCTACCTCATCAACTTGAATGATGTGATCTGGATCTGGATGGTATCGCCTTAACATAGACACATGAAAAACATCATGAATACGACTAAGATGGGAATGCAACTCAAGCTGATAAGCAATAGGTCAAACTTTCTTCAGAATATGATACGGCCCAATAAATCGCGGACTCAGTTTACCCTTACGTCCGAATCTCAATACTTTCTTCCATGGAGATACCTTGAGAAAAACCTGATCTTCAACGTAAAACTGTATATCCTTCCTCCTTTGATCTGCATAAGAATTTTGCCTATCAAATGCCTCTTTCAGACGGTCACGGATCAATCTGACTGTGTCTTCTGTCTCCCGCACTAACTTAGGTCCCAAAGTCTTCCTATCACGCAACTCAGTCCAACAAATCGGGGTGCGACACCTACGCCCATAGAGTGCTTCATAGGGTGCCATACGAATGCTGGTCTGGTAACTGTTATTATAAGCGAATTCAGCCAAAGGCAAAAAGTTCTCCCAGCTATCACGAAAATCAATTACACAACCCCGTAACATATCCTCCAGAATCTGAATTACTCTCTCAGATTGACCATCAGTTTGTGGGTGGAAGGAGGTACTATAATCCAATCTCGTACCCAAAGCCGTATGTAGCGCCTTCCAAAATCTCGAAGTAAATCTCGGATCTCGATCTGAAATGATAGATAACGGAACACCATGCAATCTGACAATCTCTGAAATATACAACCTCACCAACTTGTCCAACATATAATTTATCCGTACAGGAATGAAGTGAGCTGACTTTGTAAGTCTGTCAACAATCACCCAAATTGAGTTCTTTTCTGAAAGAGTCATAGGTAAACCAGTAACAAAATCCATAGTAATACGTTCTCATTTCCATTCAGGAATCTTGATAGGTTGTAACAAACCTGATGGATGTTGATGTTCTGCCTTAACTTGCTGACAAGTCAAACACCTCGCCACAAAATTCGAGATGTCCTTCTTCATGCCGACCCAATGATACCTCTCTCTCAAATTCCGATACATCTTATCTCCACCGGGGTGCATATCATATGGACTACTATGAGCCTCAATAAGGATAGTCTGCCTCAACTTAGCATCATCAGGCACACAATACCGACCTTTGAAGCATAAAACTTCATCCTGATCAAGGGCGTAATCTGAGCTTGTCTCTTGCTCAAAGATGGAAATCAATGAGCTATCAAGGGGCTGCTTAGCTTTGATCTCATCAACCAAGGTCAGCTTAACTTGCAATTCTGCTAACAGAGTGACATCGTCATATAAATTCATCCTGGCCATTAAAGATCTCAACTCTGTTACCGCCTTTTGACTCAAAGCATCTGCTACAATGTTAGATTTACCAAAGTGATAATCAATCACGCAATCATAATCCTTTAAAAGCTCTAACCAGCGTCGCTGTCTCAAATTGAGCTCCTTCTGGGTCAGAAGATACTTTAAGCTCTTATGATCCAAAAAAATGTAACACTTCTCTCCATAAAGATAGTGTCTCCAAATCTTCAAGGCAAAAATTACTACTGCAACTCCAAATCGTGAGTAGGATAATTACACTCATCCGGTCGCAGCTGACGGGATGCATAAGCCACCACCTTACTTTCCTGCATTAGAACACAACCGAGTCCTGAGTGTGACGCATCACTATACACTGTAAAATCCTTCCCGAACTCTGGTTGAATCAATACTGGTGCTTGAGTCAATACCGCAATCCAGATTTACCTTGTGTTTAGTCAACCAATCCATCCCAAGAATTAGATCAAACTCCTCTAAAGGAAGCTCCATAAGATCAGCGATAAACATTTCTCCCTTAACCTCCAGAGGACAACGTCGAAATACTTTATTCACTAATATCGCCTGTCCTACTGGACTCGTAACCGTAACATTATTTTCAGTATTCTCGATCGGAATCTAAAGGTTTCGAGATACCTAGCTCGATACATAGGAGTGAGTGGAGCCATTGTCTAGTAATGCAAAGTATGGAATGGAATATATAGTAAATGTACCTGCAATAACCTCAGGCTCATCTCTGTCATCCCGACGTCTAGTGGCATAAACCAAAGCTGGTTGTCTAGCCTCAGGAACTATTGGCCCTCTATTTTGCTGAGGACGGGATCTACTGTCTGTACTGGATGCTGATCCTCGAGTCTTTCCTTGACTACGATCTCTAATTATGGTATGTACTGTAGTCTGAGAATGCACAGGAGTCTGGGTAGTGGCCTGCTCAAACGAAGCTAGCTGAGGACAATCCCTCCGAAAATGACTACTAGATCCACACTAATAGCAAAGACCCATCTTCTTACGACACTCTCCTGTGTGTTGTTTACCACAAAAATCACAGAGAAACCCATGATAATACGATGAGGAACCGCCTCGACTGCCAACTAACGGTGAGGAAGCTGCATGCCTGAAATGTGTATTGCTTCTCTGAGGGACTGAAGTA